TTCCATAGTGGTTGTACCATTTTACACTTCCACCAACAGTGAGTAAGGGTTCTAGTTTCTCCACAACTTCGCCAGGATTTGTTGCTTGCTGTTCTGTTAAATTTTGCTATTCTGACTGGGGTGAGATGATATCTCATAGTTGTTTTGTAGCTACATATTTCATTATCGAAGATGTATTATCTATTTCACTAGGTACCTGTTAATAGAAACTTGTCATCCCCGCCCCCAGATCCTTCCTTTGATAAATAATTCTTTAATGAATAACCATGAAAATGTGCTCGTCATGTGAGGTTGTACTAATTTGTATTTGCCAGTGCATTTTAATAATTTGTAATTGTGTTGTGTACAGCTCTATAGCTGATTCTCCAGCAGATTTTCAGAGACAGTAAATTGTTTACTAATAGATTGCTCATCTTTCTCCCACAGAGCATCTGGCAGATTTGAACTTAATACCTTTGTATTGGAAGTTAACACTAAGCCACCAGAACTCCCTAGTCTGTAACTATATGCCTAAAAGTATGTTTCCTTGATCAGAATAAGCAGTGTCTTACAAGTCAGTCTAAAAAGTAGTGTTGATTGGCTGGCTTTCTGGCTGTCTGGGACCAAGGTCAGAAATTTAGTTTTTGTGTCTTAATTTTCCTAGTGAAAAAAACTTTTGAGTACACTTAACATTTATTACAGGCCAAACAGTATATGTGCTGCCGAAGTGAGCACAGGGCTACTAAGTTTTAAGTCAAGAATTTTTTTTTCTAGAAAGTATTCAGATTTTCTAACTTGCCTTAACCACCTTTCTTTCTCACTCCTCTCTTTTCCATTAGAAATAAAATGTCATCTGTTTCAGAAGTAGACTTCTGAATCAGAATCACCAAACTATACACATATGAATATAGCCATGAAAGGTACAAATTCCCTTCACTCTTTTTTCGTCCCATAAGTTTTACTGAGGATAATGTTTTCCTTATAATGTAAAATACTTTTGTTATAGAAAATTACTTTAGATTGTAGAGAAGATTGTCACTAACTTGTTAACTTATTTCAGAAGAATGAGACTGGAAAGTAATAATTTCTATTATATATTTTAAAATATGCTAAAAGAATTAGATCTATATTTGTTCCCATTCCAAAGAAAGGTGATCCAACGGAGTGTGGAAATTACTGAACAGTATTGTTGATACCACATGCAAGCAAGATTCTGCTGAAGATTATTCCAAAAACAACTAGAAAAGCACATCAGCAGAGAACTGCCTGAAGTGCAGGCTGGGTTTAGAAGAGGTTGTCATGGTACTAGGGATATTATAGCTAATGTTGGATGGATCTTGGCTGAAAGTAGAGAGTACCAGAGGAATGTCTATCTGTGTGGGTCACAACAAACTGTCTTGAGAAGAATGGTAATCCCAGAACACTTAATTGTGTTTATGCAAAATTTATACCTGGACCAGGAGGCAGTCATCAGAGAAGAGCAAGGAAACACTGCATGGTTCAAAATTGGGAAGAGTGTGTGTCAAGGATTTGTCCTATCTCCTTATCTTTTTAATCTATATACCGAAAAGATAATCTGGGAGGCTGGGCTCTATGTGGAGAAATGTGGCATCAGGATTGGAGGTAGACTCATCAACAATCTGCATTAAGCAGATGACACAACCCTGCTTTCTGAAACTGAGGAGGGCCTGAAGTGCTTGCTGCAGAGGGTCAAGGACTACAGCCTTCAATATGGATTGAAGCTCAACATCATGGAAAACAAAGATTCTTAGCACTGGGCTGATTGGCAGCGTCATGATAGATGGTGAAGACTGAGATTGTTAATAGCTTCAGTTTGCTTGGCTCTACAGTCAACACTCTTGGTACCAGCAGCCATGAAATTAAAAGACAAGTAGCATTGAGAGTCACTGTATCAGAAGGAATTGGCTGACAAAGAAGAATTTCATGAAATGACATATGAGCAAGAGCCTATGGTGATGAAGGAGGAAGTTCAAATTGCTCTGAAGGAATTGGTAAAAAACAAGGCTCCAGGAGTTGATGGCATACCAATTGACATACTTCAACAAACAGACACTGCCCTGGATGTGCTCACTAAGAAGAAATCTGAAGGACAGCCAGCTGGCTGACTGACTGGAAAAGATCGATATTTGTTTCCATTCCAAAGAAAGATGACCCAGCAGAGTGTGGAAATTATCAAACATCATCAATAATATCACATGCAAGCAAGATTCTGCTGAAAATTATCCAAAAACATTTGGAACAGTATGTCATCAGAGAACTGCCAGATGTGCAGGCTGGATTTAGAAGAGGTGGTACTAGGGATATTAAAGCTAATGTTAGATGGATCTTGGCAGAAAGCAGAGAATACCAGAAGAATGTCTGTCTGTTCAAAGGCTTTTGATTGTGTGGATCACAACAAGCTGTGGCTGACTCTGAGAAGAATGGGAATCTGAGAACATTTGATTGCATTCGTCAGAACAGAGCAAGGAGACACTACATGGTTCAAAATCAAGAAGGGGGTCCGTCAGGGATGTTTTCTGTCTCCATACCTTTTCAATCTGTATGCAGAACAGATCATCTGAGATGCTGGGCTGTACAAGGAGAAATGTGGCATCAGGATTGGTGGAGAGTCATCAGCAGCTTGCGTTATGCAGATGACGCAACCCTGCTTGATGAAATGGAGGAGGACCTGAAGCGCTTGCTGCAAGGACTGCAGCCTCCTATATGGATTGAAGCTCAACATCAAGAAAACAAAGATTCTC